ATTTTAATAGCTGAAAATCATTTTCAAAATATCAGCTTACAATTGCAAGAAGTTCTGAAGTTGCAGAAGAAGCAGCCAGAGAAATTTTAAATGCTTTATACAATATGCCTTCTTATAGACTACTACTTGCAGCCAAGTACAGTTAACATCTTAAGTACATGGCTACACTTAACTGAAGCAAGCTCCTACTTATGGTAGGATAAATTATACATGGTTATGGTATTCCTACTCCATTTAGATATCGGTAGCTTGTGTTTTCACTCTTAACTTTTGGTATAACAAACAGCAACTATTTAAATATCCTATACATATTTAATAAAACAAACATTGTGATTAAATTGTTTGACTTAATCTTTCATCTCTAGTGAAGTTGAAATGTTTCTAAAGATTTATTAAAGTGTGAAGGAAGGTGTTGGTTTTTCCACTTTGATGTAGTTTGAGGTGAACATTTCTGTGCTTCCTCAACATGTCTCAGCAGTATAACAAACTATTAATGTAAGTGAAAAAAATTAATGCTTTAAAATTAATAAGCTTTTATTACCCGAGTAATCACTCAAGCAGCCTAAAATGACAAGAATAAACATTAGATATTTTCTTTAGGATGAGCAAACAGGTTTTTCTGCTAAATAGTTAGAATTGCAACTGATAAAGTAGCCCACAGGGGTGGGCAATAGTTTTTTGCTGGAGCCACTTAGAAAATTTTTGAAGTAGCCCCAGGCTGCACAGGAAGGGACAGGGCTGATATATTTCCAGCTTCCCCCCCCCCCCCGGAGTGCCTTTGCCCCCACCCCAAGGTGCCCATGCCCCTGATGTCGGAGGAGACTTCCCTCACTCCCCTGACCCTAGGGGCTGGAGATCATGCAAAGCCTCCTCAGTTCTTCCTCCTGCTTGAAAGCGCCACATGCTCCTGGCAGGGTGGGGGCAGAGCAGAGAAGGCTTCATGTGCTCCCCCCGCCCCCAGACCCTAATTGGCTGGGGGGGGGGGAGCAGCAGGGCCTCCACAGGTGGGATCCACCCCTGAAGTAGCATAAAGATAGGTTTGTCACAGGCAATTTACAAAGAGACACAATGCCATAATATGGATATTTCTAAAAGTAGTGTGGCTTTTAAAAAAACTGCTTAACAAGTCATACAGAATTAGTGAAAGACAGACATAGCCAAATCCACACTTTAGCTACCTCTACGTAGGCCTGCCTCTTGTAAAATGACTAAAAGTATAGTACAGTCTCTGCCAAAATCCTAAACATTTTGGCATATGAGAAGCAATATGTTTTAACTATGCTTCCAGCCCTCTGAGTTTTACCTGAATTGTTGACCATGAAGGTTTTTTTTTTTTTTAATTTAGTACTCCTAATACATACAAGACTGATAACCCTTGAACCTGTCTCTAGCTTTAGAACATGCACAATACAGGTAACACAACTAGAGTAAGTTGATTACATGGATCTTCTAGGAGCCACCATAGAGAAGATAGTTCAGTTTTTCATAGATTTTCAATCTTTGGCCTCTGCAAAAAGAGAGGGAGACTGATGCTATGTTATATTGCTGAGGGTAATTAATGATGGTTCTACTAAGCTATAATTTAAACAAATAAGACATTGTCCCATTTAGCCAAACTTCATTAGTATATAAACCTAATATACAAAACCACCACCAATGGCAAGTTTACTGTGCATTTTCATGTGAAGAGAGACCGATGGTATGGTTCTATCACTTTCTTTTGGCAGTGTAAACTTCAGACATAGTACATTTTATAAAGCTAAAATTTAACTCCATTGTGTCTTAATGAATCTAAACAGCTGACTTTATTTTGTGCTTTACCATACACTTCCTGTTTCCTTAAAACCTCTACAAGCAGCTCATCAGGTATTTCTTCCAGGTCACAGTTCTGCTTGGTCATACTGCCTGCAGCTTCTGCAAGTTCAGCGTCTTCAGTAGCTTCCAAAAAAGAGGCATCATCAATCACATTATCCCAGTCTATATTTAAACAGAATTGGTCAAGAGACTCCTTATTTTCTTGACATGTCCTTGACGCTGTGCTTTCTGAGAAATCTGTAAGATTAGGTGACTTTGCTTTTTCTTCTATATTTCCACACTCATCCATAAAAAGTATATATTCTTCCTTTAAAAAAATCAACATGTAAGTGTTCATTACTTCTGGGGAGGGAAAGAATTTATTATTATTTACACAATGAGAGCAGTCAGGCCAAGGCTAAGCACTTTGAAAATGTCACCATCTTTAATGAACACTGTAGGTCAGCTGACAAGGCAAATTAAGTGTTTTTGGATTGTGGGTATTTACCACACAGCTAAACACTGATCTTATAAAAGTTAGTTTCAATAGGGTCAAAATGTAGTTTCTAAAAGCACTACTGAGTTTGCAATAGCTGCATCCATAGGAAGATACTACATTATGAATGTGCTGTTGCAAAAAGAAAAAAATTAGATTGGGTGCCCCCTTTCAATCTAATCTTTTCCAAGCAGAACTAGGAAACCGCTAACAAGGTAGATTAAAGTTTGTCAGTAATGTCTCTAAATCAATAGTTCTCAACTTGTTAACCCAGAGAGCTGCATATGCTGCTCATAGTGGTACTGTGAGCTGCAGCTGTGCTGAATGGTTTGCAAGAGGCATATGGGCTGAGAACCACTGCTTTAAATAGTGGCAATTCACTTAATTTTTACTGCAAGTTTATGACATCCCATATGAATCAAAACAAAGTTTGGTTGAGAATGGTAATATCAGCTATTGAAAAGCTATTATATTAGGCTATGTCTACATTTGCGGCTTCTTGCGCGAGTAACATGCAAATGAGGCTAAGCGTGGAATATCGCCAAACTTCATTTGCATACCTAATGAGCCACCATTTTTTTCAGAAGAGACTCTTGCGCAAGAAGGAGCATCTACACTGCCCCTCCTTGCGCAAGAAAGCCCTCTTGTGCAATGCTGTTACACCTATTACTTGACAGGAAGAATGGCATTACGCAAGAGGGTTTTTCTTGTGCAAGAAGAGGCAGTGTAGACGCTCCTTGTGCAAGAGCCTCTTCTGAAAAAAAAATGGTGGCTCATTAGGTATGCAAATGAGGCTCAGTGATATTCCATGCTTAGCCTCATTTGCATATTACTCGCGCAAGAAGCTGCAAGTGTAGACATAGATCAGAGTTGGTTACTTGGCTGATAGTCTTATCTACAAAGGTTGAATATTTACATTAAACAATTCTGAATGCTTTACTGTACTATGAAAGGACTTTTCTAAATGAAGATAAATTTTTAAAGTCAATGACTCATTTAATTGCTATTAAGTATGAATCACTTAGTTTCAGAATACTAAATCACTAATGCAAAAAGCAGGATTGACATTCTTAAAACACATATTAATTATGCTACATCATATTGTGTGCTGCAAATGATCTTGGAAGTCTCATTTGTATTTGCCTAATCATCGAAAAAATAGAAAACTACTTTGTTGAGGATTCAAAGAATACATTTAAAGGTGGCATTTCTGTATTGGTCAGTTAGTGTATATATCACCAGAGAATTTAAGAGATCTTATGCTAGACCCTAAGGAAGAGATTTGTTTTAGGCATATTGACCAATATCTCACCTAAACTGTAACTAGCCTGTGTACCGCTTCCCTTGGCGAGAGGAGTAATAGCAGGAGAAGAAATATTTGGGGCCCAAGTATGTAGTCATTACATCCGATTACCATTGTCATCCATGGAACTACTGACAAAGAAGGACTACACAATCAATCAGGCCCTTTAGTATAGGCAAGACACTTAAAGCACTACCGGAGAGGGCAGTTTGAAGTTACTGTTAAGCCTTCTCTCTTTTTTGCAGGGGATGGGGGAAAGGAATACAAAAAAAATGCATACCTCTTTGAAAAGAAAAGGGAGACATATCTCAGGGGGTAATGGAATACCTAAACAAAATATAAATACAATGTGTATGATTTAAGTTCATGTTTCTGAAACAGTTAAGTGTTTTGTTGAAAACATACTCACTCTCTGATTTGAAGTTTTTGGCTCTGCAGACCGGGTCATAACATTTTTGATAGTAAACTTCTTTTTTTAGCTCTACGACAATCCTTAAAATAGAGATGCATGGGTTGACTAGCACTTAAACATTTACACCCTAGCTAATGCTGTTCTTACGTGGCTAAGGTTTCTGAAACAGTTAAGTGTTTTGTTGAAAACATACTCACTCTCTGATTTGAAGTTTTTGGCTCTGCAGACCGGGTCATAACATTTTTGATAGTAAACTTCTTTTTTTAGCTCTACGACAATCCTTAAAATAGAGATGCATGGGTTGACTAGCACTTAAACATTTACACCCTAGCTAATGCTGTTCTTACGTGGCTAAGGTTACAGGGGTCTGGACCAGCCTCTGTTTGTAGCAGAAGTCCCCCACTCTCCCCAAGGACTAACCAGTTAAACAGTATTTTACATCACTAACATTAGCTGCATTATACACAGAGGGCCCAGATTTCACCCAGAGTGTGAAGACCATGTTCTTTTTCTAAATAGTCTTTGTATATGCACTCTGACCCATTCACAATTGAAATTACATATAATATTCAGTGCAAAGAAAGGAGGGAATACTGTAACATTTATATATTAAATGTACAGGTTTTTGGTATGTTATTCTAAAGCCTAGATATTGAAAGTGAGGTACAGGTTGAATCTTTCTAGTCCCAGTCCCTTGGGACCTGATTGATTCTGAACCAGAGAATTTTCCAAATGATGGGAAGTCAATATTGTCGAGCAGTAATACCAACACTTCCATTGCTTACTGAGCTGTTAAAGGACTTTCAGGGGTAAAGTAGAGCAAAAGAACAGTAAGAGCAAAACTGGTGGCTATAAACAAACTTTATGGGATCATAGGAAACATGACCGCACATGTGAAAAGTGAACATCCAGCTAACTAAAATAATTCTAGATGACGGATGTGTTTGGACTAGAGAGTTCTGGGCTAGAGAAGTTCAACTTGTACTATTCTCTTCAAGTGGCATTGATATCTTATTTTTCATCTTTGTTCAGAATTAAACTCTTTTAAGGTAGTTATAAAATGTGAATTAAAACCCTCTCTTGCAGTGAATATAGCTAAAACACTTTTACAAATTCTGGTACTTAACACAACCATATAACCTGGATTTGCAGTGTGGGACAAATCACGTTTTGTGGTGAGATACTACTATACCATTTTAGCTGCAGCTGAATAGACTATTGTTTAATAGCATGAATTGTACAATCTCTAATAGTCATTCTTTTAAAAACATTTGAATTTAGAAATAGGATCCATTTTGAAATTTTTTTTAAAAGCATGCATTTGGTTATTCTCACAGGGTATGTCTACACTACAGCATTATATTGAAATACCTTATTTCAAAATAACACATCTACACACAAAATGCATTTCAAAATAGTGTTTTGCTATTTCAGAATAGCGTGTCCACACTGAGTGGATGCTGAATCTCATTTAAGGCCGGCCAGAACCAGGTCCGGCTTGGTATCAAGTCAGGAGTTACTTTGTGTGGCTGCTGCCTGAGGCTATCTGAGGCCTGTGCTTAAAGGGACCCCCTGGACAGCCGGTTCTCAGCTTTCCCTGCTTGCTTGCCTACCTCGATGAGGAACAGCAAAGCATTTTGTCTCTGCATGCTCTGTCCCTCACTCAGGACACCACAGCACTCTGTAACACGGAGCCAGAGCTGCCCCTGGGCACTCTGGTGCGTCTCGTGGCTGCACTTTCTGCAGCCGGGAGGTCCACTAGGGGCTGTCAGTATCCAGGAGGCCCTGTGAGAGAACTTCCACCCAGAGGAACACTAACAGCCTCCCTGGTCTGCCCCACTGGGGGCTTGTGCCTCATTCCTCCCACTTACCTCTCCCTAACCCCCCTTCCTGATGTTAAATAAAATGCATGTTTTTTCATGAACACAAACTCTCTTTATTTAACAAAACTGGGGGGTGGGGAATGAAACTTTGGTGAGACTGGGAAAGGAAGCGGGAGAGGGGAGACGAGAGAGTGGGAGAGGGGAGGGGGGAATCTGGGAGGAGGGAGCTGGAAGGGGAAAGCAAGGGTAAGAAGAGGGAGGGGAAGCTCAGGGCTCAGGGTTGGGTGATCTCGCCGGACCAACTTGATTGTCATGCAAACCTGCTCCTGGGTTCGCATGTGGTCTTTGGTGGCCAGGATGGCACCTGTCCTGCCATAGATGCTGCGTTCCTCCATCTACTAGCAGCTATCCTGCCATAGACGGCACCGTTCCTCTGTCTAGTGCGGAGATCATGGGTGTTGGGGGAATCCCCCGCAAACCCGAATAAGTTCCATGATCTCCACCCTGGACCAGGAAGGCATCCTGCCTTCTCTGGGCCCTGGCAGGCTCCTGGGAGCTGGCAGACTGCTCCTGGGGAGCGGTGGAGGGCTGGTTGCCAGTGGTTTGCTGGTTCATGTTTTGGGGCCACTGGGTATGGGCCAGTGACTACTGCCTGTAGCCAGAGTCAACTCCTTTAAGGGCTCCGGGGAGGGAGAGGAGTGTTCTTGGTTGAAGCTGGAGTGGCCACCTGGGAAGGCTGGAGGCCCCCATTTCAATATAAGTGGCTACATGGCACTTATTTCGAAATAGCTATTTTGAATTTGGCGTTATTCCTCGTGGAATGAGGTTTACCAAATTCAAAATAAGCGCTCCACTATTTCAATTTACTTTCGAAATAGTGGTTTGGCTGTGTAGAAGCTAGTAAAGTAATTTCAAAATAACGGCTGTGTAGACATACCCACAGTCAAGAAGACACTAGCAGTTGCTAGTCAATTTTACTCTGAATAGTAATTTACATTTAGAATGTGTAACCTAAAAAATTGTCTCATCAATATTCAGTTTTCTAAATAAGATTAAACATTTTGAGTGAAATCCTGACTCCAGGAGATCATTACCTCCCCACTATTCTCAGCCACTGGAACTAACTCCATAAACAGGTATAAATGTATGCTCAGTTAAAGAGTAAAGTGAAAATATTTCTATTTCCAGTGAATAGCACCCAGTAAGAGGAGGGACCCTTGAACAGGTGCTGTAAAAAACACACTCTCTTACCTGAACAGTTTTCTGTTCAAGCATTTCTGGATATTATAATTACATACTGTAGAGAATGCTACATACTTAAAGAACATACATTATGTTGTTACTTTTGTGGGCTCTTCCAATATTTTTACACCAGCGATATCTGGATATGTCATAAACAAGAAGTTCTTCCAAGGAAAAATAATTCCATCGTCGTATCCCTGGAAAATTAAGTACCTTTTTTAAAGCAATTGTGTAATAGCTTGGAAATGGATGTCTGACTTTAAAAAAAAAAAAAAGGGGGGGGGAAGGGTTGTTCCTTACCTCCATGATGATCATCTTTATTAACTAAGGAAAGGACAAAACAATCAATTTCTGGATAAGGTGAATATGGATATCCTCCTATGGTATCTGTTTAATAATGCACAAATTACTGTTACAGATTATGCAAACTCCTAAGTGTACTTGAATCTCACTAACCATGAAAGATCTACTCTTGGTCTCATTAGCCTCAATAAAGCAGGGCCTACTGTCTATCTGGTATACATATTCAAAAGCATTTTTCATTACACAGTAAGTTGCCCCTTTTCAGGAAATCAAGAGCTAGATCTCTATTTTGGAAATGGCAGGTAGCAATTTGCACATGCTCATATGGTTTAGAGAAGACTTGTCAGTGCTTACTATTCCTGTGAACAAGAAAACTGCACTGTGGACTGACCCTTGTACTGAATACTAGTTTCTACTACAAACGGCTCTATTGATGGAGTATGGGGGCATAAAATAAGAATTAGATCAGTGTGTCCCAATTTTATTTGGCCATGGAACCCTTTTCAGAATTTCAAGGAACCCCTAGGCTTGTCAAGGAGGAAAAAAAAAAAAAAAAAAAGGAGAACCCACCAATGCATGAAAATCATATTCCTTCCCCAAGACCCCACCCCTTTGAGGCCCCATCCTCTCTGTTCCCCTCCTCTCCATCACTTGCTATCCCTAGCCCTTATACACTCTCACTGGGTTGAAACAGGAGGTGCGGGCTCTGAGGTGGGAATGAGGATTTGGGTGTGGGAAGGGGTGAGAAGTGCAAGACTTCATTTTTAAATAAAATACAGGCAGTCCCCGAGTTACGCGGATCCGACTTATGTCGGATCCGCAGTTACGAACGGGGCTTTTCTCGCCCCAGAGGACGGGAGCGGCGGGACGCCCAGATGCACCACGGTCCGCCGCCCCCGTCCTCCGGGGCGAGAAAAGCTGCTCCCCGTCTCCCTGGTCTGCAGGGAGACGGGGAGCAAAGCCTTGGAGCACGCCCGCAGCGGGACAGCCCA